CACGTTCTTTATGGTCTGATTTGTTTTAGGTCGAACTGGAAGAGCAGGGCATAAAGGAAAAGCTGTTACATTTTTCACTGAAGATGATAAACCATTATTAAGAAGGTATGTGTGGAACACTAACTCAGAATTAAGTTGGCAAAATTACGTCATTTTAAGTATCTGTTCCGTTTACAGATAATTTCATCAATTCCAAAATGACTGTGTCCCAAATTCTGTTATTAAAATTTGGAACTTTTCATACTGGTATATTCATTATTAAGTTTCAGACTCACACAGTTTTCCCAGGAGCCATCATTTCATTAAAGTTTCTGAGTAAATAAGTTTAGTGTTAACCACCTGGGTTTGTTTGGCTCAGGCAACGTTATCTCAACATGGTACATGCTTCCCGTGCTCTCATTAACCCAGTGTAATCATGTCTGGTTAGGATAATATATCAGGACACTACCGTTGGGGCAGTTTTAGTTTCTCTTATATTGTACAGAGGTTTTAAGTGCATGCATATCAGCTTAACAAGATAAATACTGTGTTTTGGGGTTTCTTTTTTAGTGTTGCAAATGTTATACAGCAAGCTGGATGTCCTGTACCAGATTACATTAAAAGTTTCAAAAGACTACTAAGGTACAACCCTGAACCTCCCTGGAGCTGCGCTCTCTCCATTTCTCTCAGCATGTACCTTCTTGCTCTCACATTCCCTCGTAAACATTGTAGTTCTAACAATCATATTAATTTTAGTGCATTTTAAGATAAAAAATAATGCTTTTAAGTGTTTGTGAATACTATGTGTTCTTTGCTTGTTTTTCATCTTTGAAATTTCAAGTGTTCTGATTTTTTTTTAATTATTCAGAGTATGTAAAATGTGTTTAGAATTTATTCTAGTTCATAAATATAAGTAAAAAGCAGTGAATTGACCAATTCACCAATCAAAAATTCTAATGTTTGCTGGCATGGGACATAAAGTTGACACTGGCTGTATTTTCAACAGAATTGTGGTGGGGGTTATTTTTTGTTTTGTTTTTGTAATTTAATTGAATTTATCCTCCTTTTAAGTTAGCTCCAAATGCTAATTATTAAATGCTAAAATGGATACGCCCCAGCTTAAAACTGTTAAGTGGTTTAAAAAATGAATTTTATGATGAAGAATCAAAATATTAGTTTTAGTTCTCACTCTTCTAAATTAAGTTGCACTTAATTTAATTCTTTCATCTTACTTTGTTGCTTTCAGCAAAGAAAAGAAAAAAATGGTTAAGAAGCCATTGGAAAGAGAGAGCATTAGTACAACTCCAAAATGTTTCTCAGAAAAAGTGAAGGATAAACAGTAAGTGTATGGTGAGAAAAAGTTGTTTGACTCCATATTATAGTTATGGTAGGCATAACTATTTCCTTAGGATAAATTTTTAGTAATGAAATTGGTGGGCCTGTGGTGCCTTATAAAATGTTATAAAAGGTAGTATGTCTGAAATTGCCTGTGATTTAGAAACTTAGATGATTCAGTCATGGAATTTTTCTGTATCTTCATGTTAATTATTTATTTTTGAAAATATGGTCGATTCACTGTCAACAGAATTGCTAGTACCCAGCATTCTTTCAGTCTGCATCAAGGGATGCCTCTGAGTTCCAGTCGTTACAGCTATTGACTTACATTGAGTATTCCTGAAGGTCCATATTTGGAGCAGGATTTCAGGATAATTTTATTCTTATGGTGACTCATGTAACACCTCTAAAAAGTATTTCTTGGGTCAATTTGTAGTAGGATGTGCACTGGACTACTAGCCACAAGATCAGTGGGTCAAGCCCATCAGCTGCTTGTGGGAGAAAGATGAATGAGGCTTCTACTCCCATAAAGATGACAGCCTCAAAAACCTGTAAGTCAGAACTGAGTGGACAGCACTTAACAAGTAACTGAATAAGTACAAATGAAATTAAAATGATTAAACTTTCAAATATTTTATGTTTATTTATATTCATTTTATTATATCTGTGTTTATTTGTTGCATTTATTTTCCCGAAGTCATTAAACCTTAAAACTTGGTGACACCTTACATTCTGATTGAACTTGATTCCCCATTGTTATTGTTAAGTGCCACCTAGTTGGTTCTGACTCATAGTAACCGAGTATAGGGTTTCCAAGGTATAAATCTTTGCAGGAACAGAAAGCCTCATCTTTCTCCCACAAAGCAACTGGTGGGCTCAAACTGCTGACCTTGTGGTTCACAGTCCAGACTTATCAAACAGAGCCACCAAGCTCTTATTTCCCATCATCAAAATGTCTGTAAGCTCTACATATAAAATAAGTATATTCCAGTTTTCATGCTTTTGTTCACCTTTGCATGCCTAAATTTTCCCTAACATTAAAAACTTAGATTCAAGTTATACCTCCTTAAAACTTTCTTCCAACTATACCAATCCATATCCATCTTTCCCTTCTCTAAACTTATATTTTATTTTAAAATTCTTTTCATTTACACTAATATCCTATTAACAGTTTTTGGAAGAAGTCTCATTTTATACTTTTAATTTTTCCTACCACCACCAAGTGCCTGGCAAGACCATAGGTACTCAGTTAGTGCCTACTTACTTGTTGATGAGAACAGTGTTTCTCATGACTTCCACAGAACAGATTTTAGATAATAGAATTATTAACTTATTTTACAACTGTAGCATTCTCAGTCATTGATGGTACTCTCAGGGAAAAAACAACAATAATACAAAAAACCCACACATAATAAAAAAATTGTTAATCAAGCAATTCTATTCAAGTATATATTAGTTGGTACTGACATAATTTGAGGAGTGCCATTTTTCTTGAATAGTGAAAAGAGTAGAGCTGTTGAGAATATTTTAACCTACTCTTATCAACCTCCTTCCTGGAAATATTGAGTAAAAAAAAGTAGTCCTGTGTCTGTGCTAAAAAACAATGTTTTAAAATCCTCCTAAAATTCAGTTCTAAGCTCCAAGTGCACTACCGTTGAGTCGATTCTGACATTCATATTGTTGTTGGGTGTCGTCAGGTCAGTTCCAACTCATAGCAGCCCTATGAACAATAGAACAAAACATTGCCCAGTCCTGTGTCATCCTCACAATTAGTACATTTGAACCCACTGTTGTTGCCACTGTGTCAATCCATCTTGTTGGGGTCTTACTCTTTTTCACTGACCTTCAACTTTGCCAAGAATGATGTCCTTTTCTTGGGACTGGTCCATCCTGATAACATATCCAAAGTATGAGGGGCAAGTCTCACCATTCTGGCTTCTAAGGAGCATTCTGGCTGTACATCTTCCAATACAGACTTACTTATTCTCTGGCAATCCATGGTACTTTCAGTATTCTTCAACAACACCATAATTCACATGGATCAATTCTTCTTTATTCATTGTCCAACTTTCACGTGCATTTGAGACTATTGAAAATACCATAGCTTAGATCAGGTGCACCTTAGTCCTCAAAGTGATATCTTTGTTCTTGTGCATTTATGAGGTCTCATGTAGCAGATTTGCCTAAGGCAAAATACGTTATTTGATATCTTGACTCTTGCTTTCCTATTTAGGGTGTCCATGGCTGTAAATCTTTGCAGGAGCAAAAAGCCTCTCATCTTTCATAGTGACTTCTTAATAAAATTTTTATTTGAGTTTTTGTTGACAACAGTTGTTGGATGAATTGTGGATTGGTAGAGGGGATTGTCTTGCCTGGCTATCCTGACTGCCTACACTGTCTCAGTAGATTTTATAAGGGTCACAACAAAATTATACATAAGAACCTCATTCTGTGGATTATCTCAAGACTAGGATCATAAATCCAATTCTTCCAGATGTGTTCAGCAACTGATCAAAATTTTTATAAAGACCAGTCAAATAGAGCATAAGATCATGGTTATGTTGGATTTTAATAAGAAAAATAAGTATTTTAATCTTAAATAATTATTTAAATTATTTTTCTATGTATGTAGCATTTGTAGTTTTACAGACATAATGTTTAAAGCTGCACAAAGACTTTTAGGTCATTTGTTATAAATCCCTCTGTTTAACATGCTTCACTTGTCTCTCTGTTTTCTCTGTATTTGAAGACCATATTTGCTAACAATACAAACAAGACCCATCATGATCTGTCTGTAGCTTACCTCTTGGCTACAGATGTTCCTCTAATAAGCCCACCTGTTTCTGTAGACTCTGCTTGTAGGCTGATAATGCTGAAGCCTGTTTCTTTAGCCCCAGTTCCTGACTGAATTACAAGTCTGAGTCCTGTTGTCAATTGAACATTAGAGAAGCACTACAAATTCAACCTGATGGTGGTGTTAAGTACCATTGAATCGGTTCCTCAACCTAGTTTAATGGAGAGAATAATGGAAGAATTCAGAGTTGGAAGAACTGGCTCTGTTCCTACTTTGTGACTCTGAGCAAGTCAGTCTCTCTAAGCATCTTCTCCTCTCTCTCTATAATGGAAATATACCAGCTCTGCCACTTAGGGTTGGTTGGAGGACTAAAGGAGTTAATATACAAAAAAAAAAACAAAAAACTTTTTATTACCATAATATAATATGCAAACATTGAATATTTTCTTTAAACTTGTTTTTCCTTTTCTTATGTTAGTATTAATGGCATTCACCATTCACAAAGTACTGAAGCTAGAAATAACTGGAATCATATTTTAAGTTACTTGCCTTTCATGCAACCAGCTTTGCTAATTTCTATTCATTTTTCTCTGCAAATAACTCCTAGCAATAGTCTCTAGAAGACTAGATTGGCTCTAGAATCATACTGGGGGGTTCATGTGTATGATGATCAGCAGAATACTGAATCACTCTGTGCCTCATTTTCATCATTAGTAATAGTTATAGTAATAAATTGTTATGACGATTACCTACATTATTAATATATGTAAAGTATTTTAACAGTGTCTAGCATTTAATAAGTACTTTAAAAATGTTAACTCTATTGGGTCAGCGTGAGAATCTTTTCATACTGTATATATAGCTGTCCGTGATGTTTCTAGAGCCCTGGTGTGGCGCTGTGGGTTAATGCACTGGACTGCAAGGTCAGTTTGAACCTCAAGGTCAGTGGTTCAAGCTCACCCGCTCTCCTCAGAAACCGTATTCAGTGCCATTTCTAGTCAGAACCGACTCAGCAGCACTTAACAACAACAGCTGTGATGTTTCTGTGTCATTTAGGTGACAAAGACCATGTTTTTGTGTTCCCGGTTTCATATACTTGATACACAATTGTTGAGGGCCCTTGAATCAGTTTCAACTCTGTTCAATTCTGTATAAGGTTTCAAGACTAAATCTTTGAGCCTCATCTTTCTCCTGCAGAGTGGCTGGTGGGCTTCAACCTGTGACTTTGTGGTTCACATTCCATGGTGTTTATGTACAGAGTCACCATGCTCCCTGATACACAGTTGTTGTTAAGTGCAGTTGAGTAGGTTCCAAGGAGCAGCTGATGGGTTTGAACTGCCAACTTTGTGGTTCACAGTCCAGTGCTGATCCTACAGTACCACACCAGGTATCAGTAAATGTTTATTTTTTAGACTTGTAAAATGTTTGCAAATACATCAATGTAGAATTTCTGACTTGACTTTCCCTGCATTCTTTTCTACAGGAAAAAGGTCACTGGTCAGAACAAGAAGAAAGTAGCTCTTGAAGACAGTATTTAAAATGAGACCTTTTAAAAGACTGTCCCAGAAATATAATTGTATAATCCCAGCCTAAGTCTTGATGTCACAGTATACTTCAGGTCATAAAAATCACTTTTATCAAACATTTGAAATCAAATACAAGTACATAGGAGTGGTGAAAATTTATTTATGATTCTGTCAATGTGTCATGTTGTTTCAATTTGTAGGTGATTTTTAAATGGTTACACCATGGAAATAACAGTCATTGACTTTTTCCATGGTTTAAATCCAAAGAGATACTTCTTATAGAAGACCAGAAGCTTATTTAACAACACCCTAATGTGGTGAACTCTTGAGGATTTTTCTCTTCTGGTACAAAGGAATGTGTAAAGCATGCTGTGAAGAGGCATCTGAAACAAAACCTCAAAGTATTGAATGTCCTCCCTTTTTTATGATGGACAAGAAGCAGCATAGGCAGTCTACCAAGAAGCAATGCATTGTTGTCTGTTTTAGTAGTTCTTCATTTATGATGACCTTTTTGGCATAAGCCACAACAAAGAAATAGCTTGTCTGGCTGGTTGGTCAAGTTCTGTAGGATTTTAAAGTCTGGTCTATTAAATAACGTTATACCTCATTGGTAAGGTAGTTCATACTTTACCTGGCATAATGTTGTAACTACAAGATTATGTTCAGCCTCTCATTTTCCATGATTTAGTAAAGCTCACTCTTGTCTCTTTCCATGCATGATAATTTTGGTAGGAAACTGATAAACATTTTATCATGATAGGCAAGAATGTTCCTGTTATTTGATACACCTCTGACTTCATTCCCTGCTTATCTTTCCTCCTTTATACTGTTTTATACTCCACCCATTTAGTAAACAGAATCTCTTTTAAAGATAAAGGAATATGGAATATGATTATACAGTTAATAGAAAATATCAGATCTTCATTGCTAGTTTTACACAATGGAATAAAACATTGACTTTATACATGTAAAGTGCTTCGACTGGTATTTGACATATAAATATTTAGCTATTGTCAATACCATTAAAATACTATATGCGTCTAATAACATTTGAATTATTTCTTTTATTTGCAAGTTTTTGATGGGTAGATTGGAATATTTTGGATGGGTTAAAAATTACTCATCTTTGGAATTTATTTAAATGGAGATCTGTTGCTCCAGGATACAAGGAATATTTATAAGCATGTAGTTTTTTGTTATTGCAAACAAGTCCTTGGCCCATTATATACTCTAAAGACAGGTAAGCTGTTGCCCCCATTATTTGTCAGCTTTGTGACTTTGGATGAGTATTTTCGTACTATTTCAGTTTTTTAGTGTGAAACAAGAATAATGAGTGCCATTTACAACTCAGGATTGGAAGTACCTAGTTCAGTGTCTGACACAAGATCACAACAAATAGTCATGTAACAGACATTTTAGTGTTTACTAGAGACAGATGGTTTGATAACAGTCCCTGTTCTTATTATATGATGGTGGAGATAAGTAAAGGAACAAATAGTGTGGTAAATACTGTGTTAGAAGGAAGACTAGGGTATTGGAACATCAAAGGAGGGTGTCTGACCCAGATTGGGATGTCCTGGGAAGCTTCCCAGAGGTTGCAACTGAATCAGGAGTCAGCAGTTCAAGGAGAATGAAACATTCCAGCAATCACATCTTCTGTGACCCTTGATAATATATGCTTCCTTTATCTGACCTATTTTCTCCCATATTGTCATGTTTACCCTGGTTCCCCCTCTCTCTGGAGTCAGTCAATCAACACATACAATAAGCCTCCACTTAGAGAGCTATTTATTGCAAAACGAGAGTGTACTTCAAAGAGAAAACTAGGTCTGTATCCACTAGTGGAGAAGACCCTGTGGGTTTGGGGTGTCCTAGCTTACAAGGGTATGGTATCTCCTCCAGGGGTAGGTTCTGCCCAGGAAACTGGTCTGGATGGTCCAGGCTGACTAAGTCACCCTTGTTACTGCACAGGCATAGGAATACTTGTTCCCTGATTTCCCAGGTTTTTCGGAGGTAGGCATAATGGTTACAAATGGGACTGCGAACCTCAAGGTAAATAGTTCGAAACTACCAGCTGTTCCACGGGAGAAAAATGAGGTTTTCTGCTCCCGTAAAGATATATAGCTTCGGAAACCCTTTACAGGGTCGCTATGAGTCAGAGCCGACTCCACAGCACTTAACAACAACAACAATGGTAGAGATATACAAAAACCCCTTCAAGGGCATAATTCAGTTAATTTTCTCCCTTCTGTGTTAGTACATACACTTCATAAACCTGCAAGGTGTGTCAGGGATGTTTGTGGTTAGATAACTATTTTGGTTGAACTCCTCCTTCTGATCACTAATAGGGGAGGGTCCTAATCTGTTCCTGACAAACACTCATCATAAGTACTGGAATATTTTGGATGGGTCAAAAATTATTCATCTTCAGAATGAATAATTATACCTGCACCAACTTGTTTTGTCAATGAATTTAGCTGCTTTAGATAAATTGAAACTCTTACACAAATTGCAGGTTTACCTAAGGAGAGAGGTAAAACCAGTGAATAATCATGACAGTACATTCACCGATTCATGAAATTAGCAAGGTCGGAGTCACGTGACGTGATTTTTTTTTTTTAAACTGCTGCCTCTACTACTGGCAGTTTATGACCTGGGTGAATTAGGCTTGAATTTTCTCACGTATATAAAATAGCAGTACTAACTACTAGGAACACAGGATTTTAAAAAATGCACATAAAGTTCCTGACCAGTAATTTGTGCCCAATAAATGGTAGCAGCTAATACAAATTGTTTCCCAGTAAAAGCCCCTATGAAAAATCACAAGTAAAGTAACTACTTGAGGGCTTGAAAAAGTTTGAGCCTTATTCTATTTACAAACTATAGTTTGATCTGTTACATACCACTGAGTTGGATCTGACTCAGCGATCCTGCACAGGATTTCCAAGAACGACTGGATTACTAGTCTAGTGCTTATTCTAGAGCACCACACGAGGTCTCATAGTTTAAGAGGGGAGATGATAAACCCAGAGGGGGTCAGAATAATTATGGAGTAACTCCTTCCAAAACTGGTTTGCAGGGGCCTGAAAGTACAGGAAAAGCATGAATTAAGGGGCCACAGCAGGGCCAAACTAAAGTATACGTTGGAGATTTTGTATGTAAATTAGACATATTTGCTGTTGGTTGGTTTACTGAAAATTGAAATACCGTCTGTCAGCTCCTAGGAATCCGGTTGTGGTGCTGTGGATTAATGCGCTAGACTGCAAGTCGCTCTGAACCACAAGGTCGGAGGTTCAAGCTCACTGGCCCCTCGCAAACCCAAGTACAGGGTCGCTATGGGTCGGAACTGACTCGAAGGCACTTAAGAACAACAATCAGCTCCTAGGGTGGGTACCAAAAGGAAGAGAAGGAGTTGGATGAAAGGTACAGTAGAGTCCAGGCCCCATCCATTCTTTGCGTGTAGATTAACAAAGAACACCCATGTACCATCATCCAGTTTAAAAAATAGGGCTCGAAAAAAATAAAAATAAAAAATAGGGCTCGATCTACTCTTTCAACTAAAGATGATTACATTTGGGACGATAGCGCGTTGCCACTCCGCCGCCAGCTGGGCTCACTAAAGGGCCTTGCCAAGGAATGAATCAGCGCCATTGGAACTGCGCACGAGACCGCCCATCAGCTCTAGAGCTAGAATTACACTTGGGGGACCCCCTGCGGTGGGTGAATCACGTGACAACAATGTGCTGTTCCGCCCTGCCCGGGGGCTAGTGAAATCACGTGGATGGTGGCCCCGCCCCGTCACCCGGTCCACGGCGAGGTGGGGCCTGGCGTTTGCCCCGGAAGTGGCTGTCTTCAGCTGACAGCTGCTCGTAAGGTGGCAGCGGCAGGCCGAGTGCAAGATGGCGTTGCGGCCGGGGTCTGGAGCTGGCGGCGGCGGGGCTGCTGGAGCTGGCACGGGGGCCACCGGGGGAGGCAGGTAGGTGTAAAAGCTGGTCGGAGCGCTGTGGGACACCCCGGCTAAAGCAGGGCTGGTCCCTGCGGTGGCGAGGGATGATTGGCGGTTATGGCGGTTTTCTCCAGTTCCTTTTCTTTGGAACTGGTCAAGGGAAGGGTCGTTCGATAGGGACCTAGGCCCAGGGGTGCGGATGGATCCCCGGAGACCGACTCGTGTTCCGAGCTCGGGACACTGCTGCCTGGGGGAACGGGAACGAGCTCGCGCCCCAGTACGGGAAAGAGGCGAAGGTGAGAGGTCACTCCGGGAGCTGGTACCTAGCCGGAGCTGAGTATGAATGAGGAACCACAACTTAGCTTCTAGTCTTGACCTGGCTGGATCTGAAGTAACCAGAGACCTCTTTCTCAACGTTTGGTCAGGGATACATGTAAGGAAGGCAATAAGAAATCTGATCAGAGAGCTGGAGGAACTGTTTCTAAGATTGTGTATGCTATTTGATTTTGACTCTTTTAGTGTCCTTTCCTTCTTTTTGTTTATGTCTTTTTCACTGGAGAAACTACAGGAAAATCTGAAGACCTTTGAATTAGTTATTGTTTTGCTGTAGGATTCTAATCTTGTAGACTGTAACACTACGCTTGTCAAATTCTTTCTAAAGGTAACAAAAATAAAAATTCACTTTGACAGCAGTTACACAGTTATTGAAACATAGCTTCCAGACTTTTACTTAAGCTTTAGACAAATCTGCCCTTCCTTGTCATTTTTCAGCCTGTAGTTCTCATTTGTTTTTAAGTAACAGCTGGGGGTTTGAACTGTCAACCTTGTTGTTGTTGTTGTGCTGTCCAGTTGATTCCAACGCAGAACGAGTCTGCATAGGGTTTCCAAGGAGCAGCTGGTGGGTTTGATCAGCCAACATTGTGGTTCACAGTCCAGTGCGGGACCAGGAGTCCTACCTTGTGGTTAGCAGTCAGGCACTCATCTTAACAACACCACACCAGGAGTCGGTAGTTCTAATACTCACTCCCCCCGTAAAGGAGATGAGCCCATTTTCATTTAAAGAACTGTTTTATTTTGGAAAATTTTCATCCCACTTCTATAGTGACCTGGTCTGATTTTTGTTTTATTAGCCAGCAAGCACTGGATGGTAAAATTAGGGTTTTTTTTTAATCTTCGGTGTCTTATTTTTGGAAAATTAAGTGTTAGTTTTGTACATGCAATGTTTTAATTATAGAATCATGAACACTTTTGTAGTATAAGGTCTCTGAAATTATCACCTCCTGAAGGTGTATATATCTATAGGTGAGGTAAAAAAGAGCATTTGCTATTCAGTAAACTACCAGTTTGTAGCCCCTTTAATCATTTCCTCTGCACGTCTTTGACTTTCTGTTTTAAACTTATTTTCTCCTCTGTTCCTTAACAAAGCCATTTTTATTGTTTCATTTGAGGTTTTTGGAGGTTTTTTGGTTAAAACTTGATATAACACAACTTCTGGCTAGAGAAGAAAATTAAGTAATAATCTCTTTCTATAAATGATCATAGTTTCTAAAACATACCAAGTTCTGAGAAAAAAAGAAACTTTGAAGAGTTTGGTACTGTAGGCCCAGATTTTTCTTTTCTTTTCTTTCTTACGTGGGAAAGACTTCAGATACAGAAAGTTGAGTGAATCATTCCCTTAGTTCTTAGTCTTTTATCGTCATATGGCCATGGACACAAATGTTTATAAACATGACCTAGGTTTTGATAGAAATTTCGATGTTAAAACATCTCATTTCTTTGTAAATGCAGTAACATCAACATTCTAAAATGTATGAGAGAGAAAATTTTTTGCAATAATACTTACATTGAAAAGTGTATGGGTAAATATGTTACATATACTGGAAATTGGTTCTATGGAAAAGAAAAGTGGTTAGAATGTCCTTACCTTGACAAATGTATGGTGAATGTTATATATACTAGAAGTTTTCTGAGCCTGAAAAATTATGTGCTCAATAAAGAAAAAGTAAGTGAAAATCCCAAAGAGTCCACAAAAAAACTTCTGGAGCTAATAAAGGAATTTAGAAAATTACCAAGTACCAACCAGGTCAACAACAAAAAAATTCACTTGAGTTTTTTATATGCCAGTAATAGAAATCTGAAGGGAAGTTGGGGAAATAATTCCATCTGTAATATCATCTAAGAAAATAGAATACCTAGGAATTAATCTACCCAGGAACTGAACAAATTTATACATTGAAAACTGTAAGATACTGCTGAAAGAGATTCTGAGACTTAAATAAACAGAAAGATGTTCCATGTTGATAGATTGGAAGATTTTATATTGACAAGATGTCAGTGCTACCCAAAGTGATTCAATGCAATCCCAATCAAATTTCCTTCTTTACAGAAATAGCAAACCCAGTCCACAACTTTATATGAAATGGCAGGAGGGCCCAATAGCTAAAACAATGTTGAAAGAGAAGAATAAAGTCGTATTCATGTTTCCTGCTTTTAAAGCACACTGTATACTCCTTGTGTGGCACTGTAGTATAAGCACTCGACCACAAGGTTGGCGGTTCAAACCCACCAGCCGCTCCTCGGAAACCCTATACAGGGTTGCTGTGAGTTGGAACTGACTTGACAGCACTCAACAACAACAAGATATACTCCTGGTGTGGCATTGGCAGTTCAAACCCACCAGCCACCCCTCAGAAACCTTTTAAAGGGTCAGACAATAGTGAGGTTGGCCCAGGATCGGGCACTGTTTCATTCTGTTGTGCATAAGGTCGCTATGAGTCGGCACTGACTCAATGGCACCAAACAACAACAGCAACATGAGTTGGAACTGAGTCGACAGCATGTTAACAGTAACAACAGTATACAACTACAGTAAGCAAAATAGCCTGGTCCTTGTGTAACAGTAGATACATGTTGTCATGTGATATCAAGTCCATTCCCTCTCTTAGTGGCCCTGTACACAACAGAACTATGGCATCCAAGTATTGCTATGTTTGAGCCCATTATTGCTGCCACTGTGTCAGTCAAGTATGATGTCCTTCTCCAGGGATAACGTCTCCTTCTGAACACACGTCCAAAATACAAGAGACAAAGTCTCACCATCCTCACTTCCAAGGACCCTTCTGTCTGTACTTCTTCCAGGATAGATTTGTTTGATCTTCTGGCAGTGCATGGTACTTTCAACATTTCCTTTCAGTACTTGTCATTCACCATCCAACTTTCCTATGCATGTGAGGCATTTGAAAGTACCATGGCTTGGGTCAGGAGCACCTTAGTCCTCAAAGTCACATTTTTGCATTTTAACACTTTAAAGAGGTCTTTTGCAGAAGATTTATCTAATAACTTTTTCTTTTTTTTTTTTCATTTTTTGACTGCTGATTCATTGAGTGTAGATGGTGGATCCAAATAAAATGAAATCTTTGACAACTTCAGTCTTTTTTCCATTTATCATGATATTATTTATTGGTCCAATTGTGAGGATTTTTCATTGTCTTTATATTAAGGTGCAATCCATGCTAAAGGCTTTGATCTTTGATCTTCATCAGTAAGTACTTCAAATCCTTTTTCGTTCCAGCAACAAATAATCGCAGATTATTGAGTCTTCCTTTAATCTGATGCCATGGTCTTCTTCATATAATCCAATCTCTTGGATTATTTGCTCAGTGCGCAGATTAAATAAGTATGGTGAAAGAATACAACCTTAACTCAAACCTTTCCTGGTTATTAAAAAATTCAGTGATATTTCAGCTGGCCCATTCAGTTGGACAGAGGGATCAAGAGATTGACAGAGATGTGGAAAATGATAGAGCACATTAAGGGAACAGCAGATAGCTCAGGTTAACTGTGGCAACAAGTCGGAGAGGAGAGTTTTACGAGAGAAAACTGACAAAAGGAAATCATACCAAAATGTGAGAGGGCCTTGAGTATAACGTAATGAAATACAATTTAAGGGGGAGCTGTAGGACAAGCATTGGACCACAAGGTCCTTTTGAATCTCAAGGTCGGTGGTTCAAACTCACCAGCTGCTCCTCAGAAACCCTATACAGGGTCGCCATGAGTCAGAACCAACTTAGTGGCACTTATTTTCAGTCCCAGTGTGTCCGCATAAAAATGAGCCGTTAGGAGGATGAATTGGTACAGTGACAGCAGCAGTGGGCGCAAGTGTAACGATTGTGAGGTTGGTGGAGGATCGGGCAGTATTTTGTTCTGTTGTACGTAGTGTTTCTATGAGTCAGAACTGACTCAGTGGCAGCTAACAAGGACAACAAAGGAAAATGCACCTCACTGTGCTGCATGAGGTGCATTAGAAGGGTTAGAGTCTGGAGGTGGAACTGTCCTTCAGGAAGTTTTCATGGGAGTCCAGGCCTGAGAAGTTAAGGGCTGATCTAAGTTAGTAGCAAGCAAACCTAACTGAAAAGAAAGGATGCATGAAGTAGGACTGCGACAAGTAGCGCTTACTAAAACATTAATAATAATTACTGGGTTTATCTTTGAAATCAAATTGTTGGTCATTTTGTTACTTACTTTTTGACCAAGCTTTTCTCTCTTATCAGTATCTTAGCTACTTATCGTAACCATCTTTAAACATGTTGACATCTAAGAATTTCAGAGAATAGGTCACTAAGTAGTTTAGGTTGGTAAATTTTTACCTGGAATAAATTATGTTTGTCAGTAGTGTTTTTAATTTCATTTTTGTTTGTTTTGTTTTTAAAAGATGAACCTTTATACATCTCTTCTTGTCTTTTTAATTGTCTTGAGACCTTGACAAACTTACAGTTCTGCTGTCCTCAATTGACAGAAGACACCTGAGAGGGTCCTTAAGGAATTGCCTAGCATCTCACAGTTACATTAATGCAGAGCTGGAACAAGGAAAATATTACTCAAGTTCCAGTTTTTTACTAGCCACTAAGCCATCGCTATGAGTTGGAACCGATTTCATGTCACTTAACACCAACAAGAAGTCATATTGGGAGTCCTGCTGTGATGCTGTAATCAGCACTGGGTTACTAACCACAAGGTTGGTGATTCAAACCCACCAGCCACTCCTCGGAGACCCTATACAGGGTCGCTATGAGTAGGAACTGACTCAACAGCACTTAACAACAACAATGGCAGCGGGCCATATTGGTAATTTTAGTTCTTAAGGCTGATTTTGAGAAATCTTGACAGGTTGACTACTTTAAATGCTTTGTCCTTAAAGTTTATAAATTGTTGTATATGAGAAATTAAAAAAAAAAAAAAGAGTTCTACCAAATTTCATCTTGAAATTTAAACATTTTGTCCAATTATCACATTATTTAGCTAGTCCATCTGTGTGCCATTCAGAAAAGTTGTTCAATGTTCAGGCCCCCTTTAGGGGCAAGCCTGTTTGTCAGTAGCCAAATGTGTTGATGAGCCAGATCCTCCACGAGTCTAAGGTCCAGCCACCTGCAGTGGTTCAGTCAGGTGAGGCGTATACATAACTGGGCCCATCCCACTAGAACGTAAACTGCCTTATAAAAATTTTTAAAAAAACATCATAACATGTTAGAGGTAAAAGACTCTAGAGTTTGGTTTTTATCCTTTTTCCTGAAGAGGGAAGGCATGTAGTAGAAAAATTGAAGGACACGTAAATCTGGCATACAATTCCTGGCTTTCACTGAACTTTGTAAATCACCTATCTGGAAACCCCTCTAGATCTGTAATTCTCACAGTAAGAACCTTTCCTACTCAGTTGCTGTCAAGTTGATTCCAACTCATGGCAACCCTACCCAAGTGTGTCAGAATAGAACTGTGCTCCATGGGGTTTCCTTGGCTATAATCTATATGGAAGCAGATCACCAGGTCTTTTCTTCTGCAGTACACTGGGAGGGTTCAAACTGCCAAACTAGGTTAGTAGTTTTCACCATCTAGGAACCTCCAGTCTCAGAAAAAGAAGTCTTTCCTTCTCAAAGTAAATGTCATTTGCTACCATGCTATGTTAATCCTGTTCCCTCAAAGACCTGGTTTTATCTTAAATCTTTCTTCCTGTAGATCTCTTCTTTTTCCTCTGTTCAAACTGCTCACTCAAAGATCACCATTTTCCAAAATAGTGATTTATTTGTTAATCCTCATTTCTTATCAGCTTTTCTACAGCATTAAAAAACCAAACCCCCCTATGCCATGGAGTCAATTCCAACTCATAGTGAGCCTTTAGGACAGAGTAGAGATGCCTCAGAGGGTCTCCAAGACTGTAATCTTTATGGAAGCAGACTGCCACATCTTTCCCTGGCAGAGCAGCTGGTGGGTTCAAGCCGCTGACCTTTTGGTTAGCAGCCAAACACTTAAGCACTGCACCACCAGGGCTCCTTTTTTGCTACAGCATTCACCTAACTAAAGCCATTGCCATCAAGTTGAAATTCCAACTAGAGGACAGAGTAACACTGCCTCATAGGGTTTCCAAGCTGTCATCTTTATGGAAGCAGACTGCCACAGTCTTCTCCTACTAAGCAACTAGTGGGTTTGAACCGCCAGTCTTTTGTCTAGAGTCCAGTGCTTAACCACTGCACCACAAGGCAGATTTTCTACAGTGTTGTTGTTAAGTGTCATTGAGTCAGTTCTGACTTATAGCTCTCCTGTATAGGGTTTCTGAGGAGTTCCTGATGGGTTTGAACTGCCAACCTTACAGGTAGCAGTCCAGTGCTTAACCTGTAGCGCCACACTAGACACTTCTTCTTTCTTCCTGATATGCTATCCCTTCTCAGTTATAATGAGCTCCTTTGGTTCTCAGTGACTATTGCTGTAGGAATTCTTCAAGGTTGTTCTTATCTTCTCACTATATATATTTGTTGTTGTTGTTGTTAAGTGCCATCGAGTCGATTCCAACCCATAGCGACCCTGTATAGGGTTTCCAAGGAGCAGCTGGTGAGCTTTATATATATTTACCTTCCCTTTTATCTGCAAACAAAACTTAATTTATTTTTTTAATCACTATTTAAAAGAACCTACTGCAAGGTCGGTTTGAACTTCAGGTTCACAGTTCGAACTCACTAGCCGCTCCTCAGAAACCCTATACAGGGTGGCTGTGAGTCAGAACCAACTCAGTGGCAATAACAACAACAAAACTAAATTTGGAGTCATTGAGTGATGCAAAATATTAATGTGCTTGGCTGCTAACTGAAAGTCTGGAGGTTTGAGCCCACCCAGAGTGACCACAGAAGAAAGTTGTAGGGATCTACTTCTGAACAATCAGCAGTTGAAACCCCAAGGAGCATAGTCCTGCTCTAACACACAGGGGGTCACCAGGAGTCAGAGGCGACTTGACAGGAACGGGTTAAGTTAGATTCATCTTGGTCTTTCTTACTTCCTTTCTCCTTGCCTCTTAGAGTGCTCCTTGCCGACATCACCATTCCTGCTTGTCTTCCCATACCTCTGTCTTTACACTGGGTTCCTGTTTTCAGCAAGCAACATCATCATCCTTGTACTTGCTCAGGCTCAGAATTCCAGCAAAATCTTAAACTCTTTCTGCTTTTTCACTACAGTTCCCCATTCTGGCAGTTGGCAAGTCCCATTGATTCTGTCTTTTAGATATCTTTCATTCACTTTTCTTTTCCATTCTCATTACTCTAGTTACAATCCCTTTCATCTCTTGTTAAGATTCCTGTGATAGCTGCTTAGCTGGGTCTTTATATTTCAAGGTACCTCTCTGCTATACCCTGCTACCAGAATAACTTCCTAAAGCACATTCCAATCCTGTTACTCTCCTACTTAAAAACCTCTGACACCTTATATACTATTCAAAATAAAGTTAAGCATTCTAAAGGCCATCTACAATTTGCTTACAGCCTCAAAAGCCATATACAGGGTTGCTATGAGTTGGACCTGACTTGATGGCACCTAACAACAACAACAATTTGCTTATTTTTCTATATTCAACCTAAATCATTTCTGGACTCCAAGCATTTGCTCGAGCTATATATTGTGTCTCTCACTTCCCTTAACATTTAGCTCAAAAACCACCTCCACAAAACCTTCCGAGATAATGACTTTTCAAAATTATGCTTTCTTTTCCTCTCTATTGGTTGGACCTCTGTCTTAGCATTTAGCACATTCTGTCTGTGTTGTGTTCATTTCTGACATCAATTTCTTCAACAAGATTGCAAACTAACTCATCCCTTTCATGTAGTAGGTAGGTACTCAGTCAATTTAATGAATTTAATCTCATCCAACCCTGTCATTTTATAGATGGGGAAATTGAAGCCAGGATGGTCACACAGTGAAAGATCCAGGACTAGTTACTAGGTCTTCTGTCTTCTGGCTCACAAGTTTTCCTACGTAATAGCTTGTTAACACAGTTGTGCATCTCCTGACTGTTCTGTCTGTATTGAGCTTAGACCATTCAGTATTGTACTACAGAACATACACCAAGGCCTCTTTACCGTTCTCTCATTTATGTAAAGGATTATGTTTTCTTTGAAATGTTTGTGCATATGAATATCATAATTCATTTCTATTCTGTTTTCAGCTTCTTGTTTTCGGTTGCAAGTGGAATAAGACCCCCTCAAGGTATGTCAAAGCTTAAGTTTTACTTTTTCACTTTTATATTTTTTAACTTAGGGATTAAATGGCAAAATGGTAAGTCCTATTGCTGCCAAATAGAGTAAAGTGTTCCTATAGCTTTGAACCTATATGAGTTATTCTTAACATTTCTTAACATTTTTCTAATTTAGAGTGTAATAAGTATCACTCCTCACTTCTCTCAGACTCCCCTAAATGTTAGCTTGTTCTTTCAGGACAAGAATGTTAAGAGCAGGTGACAAAAATGAAATGACCTATAATTCTCTAAATGATGTCTTCCTCCTTCTAGTCTTCTGCTAGATTATACGCTTCAGAGGGCAGGTACCATGTTTGCCTTATGCTTGGATCTTCAGTACCCAGCATGCGGATGGCACATAATAGGTTCTTTAGAGATGCTTGTCTAATAAATCAATGAAGCTCTTTTTTAGTTATTTTATGCTATCAGTTTTTCTTTCTGTGAATTTAGTCTCACCATTGAAAATCAACAAACAAAACACTTGTCATCAAGTCAGCTCCAACTCATGGTGGCAACCCTGCGATTATCAGAGTACATATGTGCTCCATAGGATTCTCAGTTTTTCAGAATTAGACTGCTAGGTCTTTCTTACAAGGTGCCTCTGAGTAGATTCGAACCTCTACCTTTTTGGTTAATATCTGAGTGTATTAATCATTTATACCACCCAGGGACTCTGGTCTTACTATAATCACAAACATTATAAAAAGATTACATATTCTGATTCCATTTAAACCAGTTAAGTCTCAATTTGATTCTTAGGCATTTCTCCATTAAGTATATCTGTTCCCTCTTGATTTTAGACAAGGGCCCAGCTGTACCAATTCTAGCCTTGTCTTCAAGTAAATACCAGTGAAGGGATGGTATCTTGCCCCATGCTGCTGTGTGACAAGGACATAGTGCTGAAGGACGACTTTATCTGGCCTTAACCTCTCTTGCTGCTTCCTATTCACTGCACACAACTCTGCCCCCAAGGTGCTTCTGAAAATTGGCCCTTCCGTCTCACAAAGCAGTGTTGATGGGTTCTGTATGGTAAACGTGATAGAGAAACAGACTCCGAACTCAGAAACTAACAGAGGAAAAATAAAGCAGCTCAGTAGCATGTGGTCAGTGACTCATACTGACTTTGTCTCCATTTATAATCAGCATTGGAGGTTGAATTTCAGGTAAATTTTTCCAAAGGTCAGTTGTATTCTTTTCATTGTGTCCTCGTATATGCATTATTTAACCTATCTGTAGTAAGCTGTGTCCCAGATTTAGGTCAAGCAGTTTGAGATCTTGTTTTCTACAGAATGGCACTGCTGAGTTAATCTGTTCATTATCCTAGTTCATTATTTTTCATTTTTACAAAATTTCAAATAAAAATCTACATATGGAATGAAAAAATAGGATAGAAAGAGATCGTAAAAAAAACCCTTCCAAGTCTGAGACTCAAGGGTAATTTATGAGCAGGCTTGTGGTCTTGCTGGTGACCACGTTGGTCTACCGATAAGGGGAAGCGGGGGAAAAACAGCAGTGAAGTTGTGAGCTAAGTCCAACCACGTTCAGTAGACTCCTATCAAACTAGGTTGAGACCTAGTTGGCCAGCAGTATGGCGAGACCTGGGGACTCCTGGGCCCAGGGACAGGGACATGGCCACAGAGGACTAGAGGGGAGAATGAAGCATCCGGCTGATATGAAGTGAAGGGAGATGCACAAGAACACCCATACATGCAGATAGGACCTATTTGACCTGGCTTCAATGGCTGAATGATCAGAACTCGACTAAAAGAAGAAAGAAGAGGGAAAAAAGAATAATCTGCTACAATTTGATGAACTTGACCTATACTTATGGATGCAGTAGCTCAAAAGAGGGAATGAATCTTTACAGTGAGGATCGTTCCCACCTCCTTGGAACACAGGGTTGACAGGGATGGGCAACTGAGACATTGGCTATCCAAAATGAGGGGTTGGGGGCTACAAAGGCAAGAAGTGACTGGCTTACAAGCTTTCAAGAGAGAGCCTAGTTCCAGAGGGTGCGAGGAAGGTAGAATCTACTGAGTAGTTTCCAGCCTTTCTGAACAGGACTGGTGAAAGGAGATGGGGCTAAGACTCTTGTGGCTCAATAGTGAATAATTGTTATCAGGACTGTCTGTGAGTGTTGCAAATGTAAAGGTGTAGATATAACAAAAGGAGGGGAGTGGTTGATCTTGCAGACCAGGAGTGAAGGATCCTGGGACCATCAAGGGAGAAGAGCTGACTCCGGGACCCTATCCAGAGAAGCACTGATGCCAGAGATGGAGGCCCAGATGATGATGTGGAGAGATGAAGCTGCTGGGAACTCTGGACTCGGGGAGGTAAAGGGGCTGTGTGCTGACGGCCAGGGGGCAGGCCTACAGGGTATACCCATTGGTTGTTTAAATGGTTATATATTCCTGAGTGCTTCGGTGTGTATCCAAAAAAAAAAAACAGGGAATGGAAGCAAATCCTGTTGAATGATGATATACATGGAGGGGATTGTAATCATTGTAATGAAACAAAATACAATAGGATGAATGTAAAGGTGATATTCTCCCATGTAAACTGTAGCTCAATTCACAATAAAAACTTAAAAAAAAAATCCTAAAAGTTGTCTGATGTTTTTTCTTCTGGAATTTGGAATTGTTTTTTTTTTTTTTTTGGTAAAACAGTTTCTAATATATCGAAGTATATTAGTATGAATATGGAATAATGCAGGGAAGCATCAAAGATAGAGTACACAGAGTCACTGTCCCAAAAAGAATCAGTCAGTGTTGTTCAGCCATTTTAGAAGGTAGTATATTATCAAGAATTGATGATACTGAAGGAAGAATTTCAAGTTGCACTGAAGGCACAAGTGAAAAGCAAGTCTCCAAGAATTAACAGAATACCCACTGAGATGTTTGGACAAACCAATGTAGTACTGGAAGTGCTCAGTCATTTATGCCAAAAAATTTGGAAGACAGCTACCTGACCAGCTAACTGGAAGAGATCCATAATCATGCCCATTTCGAAGAAAGGTGATCCAGTGGAATGCAGAAATGATCAAACAACGTCTTTATTATCAAACATAAGCAGAATTTTGCTGAAGATAATTCTAAAGTGGCTACAGCGGTACATCAACAGGAAACTTCCAGAAATTCCAGTCAGATTCAGAAGAGGCTGTGAAACGAGAGATGTTACTGATGTTGAATGGCTTTTAGCTGAAAGCAGAGAATACTATAGTCTTTAGGGAACATCCAAGTCAATTGGCATAACACTCCAAAAAGACAGTGATCTGCATTCTACTTTAGTGAATAGTTACTGGAGGCTTAAAAGCTTGTGAGTGGGCATGTAGGGTGCAACTATTGGTCTCTCCCCATCTGGAGCAAAGAAGAGTGAAGAAAATCAAAGATGCAAGGAAACAGTTCAAACAACTAATGGACCGTGTGAATACCATGAGATCAGAAGAATTACATGGTGCTTGGTTGTCCCTTCTGAAAGGGATCGCAATAGAAGTCCTGAATAAAGTGGAAGAAAATGTGGAACTAAACTCACATATGCATGTGAAAGTTGAACAGTGAATAAGGAAGACCATAGAAGAATTGATGCATTTGAGTTACGGTGTTGGAGGAGAATATTAGAAGTACCATGGGCTGCCAAAAGAACAAACCTATCTGTGTTGGAAGAGATGCAACCGGAATGCTCTTTGGAAGCCAGGATGGCCTAACTTCGTCTCCCATACTTCAAACATATTGTCAGGAGGGGCCAGTCCTTGGAGATGGACATCATACTTGGTAAGGGGGGTCAGAGAGGAAGACCCCCAACAAGATGGATTGGCATAGCGGCAGCAGAATGGGCTCAGATGTAGCAATGATTGTACTGGAGAGTGTTTCATTTTGTTGTGCGTAAAAGTTATTATGAGTTGGCACCTAACAACAACAAACTCAAAATAGTCAAAAACAAACAAATAGGCTTTTTGGTCTGGTAGAGACTGGTGGAACCCTTGACACTATGGATCTTAGATACTCTTCAAGCCTGGAAATGAAATAACTCCTGTGGCTCAACTTCCAACTTCTGAAGTAAATAGTATACTTTATATGGTAGTTGATGGCTGTTTTGTGATAAATGCTATATTAACTATTCCTGTAGTGAAAAGGAAAAAGAATAATTGTTTATTAGGTACTAAAACTGTTTCACTGATGAGAAACTGAGGCACTGAAAGACATGGCACTTGTAGGCAGCCTTAAGGTGTAATTGAACCCTCCAGCCACTCCTTGGAAACCATATACAGGGTCACTGTGATTCGGAACCAACTCGATGGCACTTAACACCAGCAACACTGTATTAGTTATCTGTTGCTACGTTAAAGAATTACTCCAAAACTTCAAACAATAAATATCTATAATTTCACACTGTGTCTGTGAGTCAGGAATTGGGAAGCAACTTTGCTGGATGGTTTTGGTTCGAATTCTCATAAGACTGCAAGGTGTTGTCTAGCACTTGAAGTCATCTGAAGGCTTGATGTTGCTGGAAGACCTGCCTCCAAGATGGCTCACTAACGTGGATGGCAGGAGGGCTCCATGCCTCACCATATGCACTTCCTGCTTATTGTCATAATGCAGTAGTGGCTTTCCTCAGAGCAAGTGATCCAAGAGAGAAAGGAGAAAACTGCAGTGTCTTTTAATAACCTAACTTCAGAAGCTATATACCATCTTTTCCACTGTATCCTATTAGTTAGATTGGTCAGTCCTGTTCATTATAGGACTCCTGATATGGCACTGTAGGATCAGCACTAGACTGCGAACCACAAGGGGGGCAGTTCAAATGCACCAGCTGCTCCTCAGAAACCCTCTACAGGGTCGCTGTGAGTCACAACCGATTTGATGGCCCTTCACAACAATTTATTAAAGAAGGGAAAATACAAGGGTGTGACTACCAAGAGACAGAAGTCATTCCGGGCCATCTTGATGGCGTAATACCACAATGAAGCCATACTATTAACCTTTTAAATTAAAATTGATGAAAACTTAATAGAAAATTCATTTTTAGAAATTCTATTGAATAGGCATTATTATCCTTGTTTTACAGATAGAATTTTGTAACTTGCCCAAGATCGCACAGCTGGGTAAGTGATAGAGTTGGAATTCAATCTCACGTTTACTTCAGAACTGAAGTGCTTTCTCCACTACAGGGTGCTGCCCCCTCAAGTAACAAGTCCTTCATGTGCTTACAGTTTTAAGAAATTGAGTTCAATGATGCCTTTCTGTTTTTCATCAGGTTTGATGTCTATGCAGCAACAAGGATTTCCTGTGGTCTCTGTCATGCAGCCTAATATGCAAGGCATGATGGGAATGAATTACAGCTCTCAGATGTCCCAAGGACCTATTGCTATGCAGGTACTTGCTGCTTTATCTGATGGTTTAGTTGTTTTTTGTCATATGTAAATATACTAAGCTGAGTGTTATATTAAGAAATAAGTATAGTCTGTCTGTCTATTAGATGACTCCCTTCAAAATTAATTGAAGATGTGTCCATCAGAATGAGAAAAAGCAAGAGAAACCATTTAGGGGAAATCTGGTGACTTCTTTATTTTGATACTGGCTTAGACGAATTTAGAATGATCTGTTAGAACATTTAGGGTACTCATTCCATGAAGTAGCATTGGTAGAAGAAGTAGAACTCCTCTCATGACAGAAGTGTCATTGCTTGGAAGACTGAGAGCCTATACTAATTGTTGTTGTTAAGAGCCATCGAGTCAGTTCTGACTGACAGTGATCCTGTATAGGGTTTCCTGGGAGCAGTGGGTGGGTTTAAACCACTGACCATGCAGTTAGCAGTCCACTGCTTATCATACAGCACCACACCAGGACTCCTTAATAATTGTTCTTAAATGTTGTCGAGCCATTTCTGACCCATGCAACTCTGTGTAGGGTTTCTGAGGAGCAGCTGGTGGGTTTGAACTGTCGACTTTGTGTTCACATTCCAGTGCTGATCCGACAGCGCCACACCAAAAGTCCTCCTTAATAATTACTATTCTTTACACTCTTAAATTATTTCATTGATGATAATTATAACTTTTTAAAGTGGTGGTGTCATAGTTTTGCTGCTAAACAAAAATACCACAAGCAGATGGCTTTAATGAACAGAAATTTATTCTCTTAGTTTAAAAGGCTAGAAGTCCAAATTCAGGGCGCCAGGTCCATGGGCAGATGTTCTGTCTCTGTCAGTTCTCGGGGGAAGGTCCTTGTCATCACTCTTCCTCAGGATGTAGGTGTTTCTTACTGTAGGGGCTCTAGGTCAAAAGGATGCTCTTTACTACTGACTCTTCTTCTGATCTTGCCTACTTATGTCATCTCTTTCGTATCACAAAAGAAATACAAGGGGTTTCAAAAGTGCATATAAAAATGGAATAAAAAAAATGGAATTTTTCCACAAAGACTCATAAACTCAAGGTCCAACCTAATCTTGTAGATTATCTCCTGCCTCTTTAACATCCAGTTGTTGTTAGTTATTAGATGCCATCACAGCGACCCTACGTACAACAGAACAAAACACTGCCTACTCTTGTGCCAGGCTTACAGTTGTTTGAGCCCATTGTTGCCGCCAATGTGAATATTCCATGTTTTCATTGATCCTTCACTTTACCAAGCTTGATGCCCTTCTAACAACATGTCCAAAGAATGATAGATGAAGTCTCGCCATTGTCATTTACCAGGAACATTCTGGCAGTCCATGGTACTTTCAATATTCTTCACCAGCACCATAATTCACATGCATCGATTCTTTTCCGGTCTTCCTTATTCATTGTCCAACTTCCATATGCATATGAGGCTATTGAAAATACCATGGCTTGAGTCAGGGGCATCTTAGTATTCAAACTGACATTTTTACTCTTGAACACTTTAAAGAGATCTTATGCATCAGTCTACCTAATGAAATATGTCATTATTTCTTGACTACTACTTCTTGAGTGTTGATTATGGATCCAAACAAAATGAAGTCTTTGACAGCTTCAATCTTTTCTGTTTATCATGTAACCTTCTGATCAAATTGTAAGGATTTTCATTTTCTTTACCTTGAGTTGCAATCCATACTGAAGGCTGTAGTCTTTGATCTTCATCAGTTTTTCAAGTCCTCTTTACTTCCAGCAAGCAAAGTTGTATCATCTGCATATAATAAGATGTTAATGAGTCTTCCAATCCCAAAGCCACATTTTTCTTCAATAATCCAGCCTCTTAGATTATTAGCTCAGCATACAGATTGAATAAGTATGGTGAAAGGATACAACCTTGAGGTATACCTTTCCTGATGGTAAACCATTCGCTATCTCCCCATTCTGTTCAAATGACTGCCTCTTGGCCTATGTACAAGCTCCTCAAGAACACAATTAAGTGTTCTAGAATTCCCATGATTCACGATGTTATCCTTATCTTGTTAGATCCACACAGTCGAATCACAAAGATCTTTGTGGTATTATTAGCTTTCAGCCAAGATCCATCTGATGTCAGCAATGGTATCTCTCATTCCACATCCTCTGTCTGAATCCGACTTGAATTTCTGGCAACTCGTTGTTGATGTACTGCTACAACCATTTTTGAATTATCTTCAGCAAAATTTTACTTTCATGGGATATTAATCATAATTATTCAACAATTTCTGCATTCCATTGGGTCACCACTTTGCGGAGTGGGCACAGATATGTATTTCTTCCAATCAGTTGGCCAGGTAGCTGTCTTCCAAACTTCTTGGCATTGACATGTGAGTGCCTTCAGTGCTGCATCAGTTTGTAGAAACATTTTATTGGTATTCCATCAGTTCCTGTAGCCGTTTTTCACCAATTCCTTCAGTGCAGCTGTAACTTCTTCCTTCAGTACCACAGGCTCTTGTCATATGATACCTCCTGAAGTGGTTGAACATTGACCAGTTCTTTTTGATGCAGTAACCTGTGTATTCCTTCCATCTTCTCACGGTGCTTCCTGTGTCATCCACTGTTTTATCCATAGAAACCTTCAATATTTCAACCTGAGGCTTAAATTTTTTATTTCAGTTCTTTCAGCTTGAAAAATGCTGAGCTTATTCTTTCCTTTTGGTTTTCTAACTCCATGTCGTTTATATTTCATTATGACAATCTGTTTTCTCAAGCTGCCCTTTGAAATCTTCTGTTCCACCCTTTTACCTCATTTCTTCAATTTGCTTTAACATCTCTACTGTGGAGAACAAGTTTCAGAGTCTCTCTTACCTCCATTTTGATCTTTTTTTCTTTCTTGTTTTCTTAATGACCTTTTGCTTTCTCATGTATGATGTTCTTAATATCATCCTATAAATCCTATGGTCTTTGGTCTTTAGTGTTTAATGCATCAAATCTGTTCATGAGAGATGATCTCTAAATTCAGGTGGGAAATTCTCAGGGTTCTATTTTGGCTCTTGTACACTTGTTTTAATTTTCTTCAGTTTTAGTCTGAAATTGTATATGAGCAATATATGGTCTGTTCCAGTCTACCACTGACCTTGTTTTGGCTGATGACATTGAACTTCTCAATCGTCTCTCCCCACAGATGTAGTCAGTTTGATTCATGTGTATTCCAGATGGTAAGATCCACATGTATAGTTGGCCATTTATGTTGTTAAAAAAAGGTATTCACAATGAAAAAGTCAGTGATTTCACAAAATTTTATCATGTGCTCTCCAGCATCATTTCTATCACTATAACTACTGATCCTTACTCTTTGTGTCCAACTTTTGCATTCCAATCACCAGTAATTATAAATACATCTTGACTGCCTGTTTGATCCATTTTTTGACAGAAGAAGTTAGTTGAATTCTTAAATTTCATCATCACTGACTAGTGTTCAGTATGTAAACTTGAATGATAGTGGTATTAGCTGGTCTTCCTTGTAGGCACATAAATATTGAGCTATCACAGGTAACACTGTACTTAAAATAGATCTTGAAATGTATTTTTTGATGATGAATGAATGCGACACCATTCCTCTTCAATTTGTCATTCTTGGAATATAATTGTCCAAGTCAAACCATGTTACTGACCTTTTCGGAATATCCATTTCAGCTCACTAATGCGTAGGATATTAGTCTTTATGTGTCCCATTTAATTTTGAAGGTTTCCAATTTTCCTAGATTTATACTTTGTACATTCCATGTTCCAATTATTAATGAATGCTTGCAGCTGTTTCTTCTTATTTTGAGTTGTGCCCCATCAACAAATGAAGGTTTCAAAGCTTTACTCCATCTACATCATTAAGGTCTACT